AGTTTTCACGTGAAAGAGTAACAAAGTCACAGACTTTCGCATTTATAATATTAATAGGATAGGATATATGGTTGCCATGGTAATATGGAGACACACACACACACATACATTCATTTTTATATATTATATAGATATAGATAGCCGTATAGGCAATAACTAATAATGTAAAACTGTTTATTTTACATAACAAATAAAACTTTAAAGCAATCAAAAAAACACATTTACATGGGTAGTACATTTTATTTCAATTTTTAGATTAGGTAGTATCTTAAATTGTTTCAATTTAATTCAAAACGGTCCAATTGGTCCAACACCATCCAACTGGCAAGATTGAGAGGATATTATTCAATTATTGTAAAAACGGGAGATGGTAAACTGCGGCAAAAAAAAAATTTTACATTATACAAACTGCGACAAAACCGATAAGATACATTATACAAACTGCGGCAATTTGTTTTAACCTTCTTTATGTACTACCTTTATACATATCGATACGATAACCTATATATTATTATACGTTTATCGTTTAATTAGGTATAATACGTATTATGACAGCTATAATGCGTATTTTATCCGTGGCTTAACTTCATGATCGATAACGTTTGTAGTTTGTACCCTATCTTGTAACATGAACATTACCTATAATATTATACTCAATAGAACTTCTAGACACTCATGGAGTATTAGGCGAAAAATAAAGGAAAAACCAATTTTAAAATTGAAAAATATTATTATTACTAAAAATTATTAAGATCGTATAATGATCGTAAAATCAAAAAAACATTTTTTTAAATAAAATAATAATACAATAGGTAGGTACCTAATTAACATTTTGTCGTTTATTCTTAATAAAACATACTTTTTTTAAAAATTCATATCTTGAAATTCGTCCATCTTCTTTCAGTTGACGCTTTATTTCTTTTTTGTATTACCCCTTCTTCTGCACTTTTAATTTTTATATATGTGTCAACTTGAATATCTTGTAGAGCATCTATAAATTTATATAGTGATGGATGATGGTGATAAAAATATGCGTTAAATTTTGAATGGAAAGATTCACATACATTATTTGTTATAACTTCTGATTTCGAAGCCCACAAAGAAGGAGGGAATATGTCTTGCATATAAGTTTCTGTTAAATAATCGCAAAATTGTACTATTTGATTATTAGATGGCATACCTATCTGCAATTAAATTAAAAACAAACGAATCTTCGACTTCATGAGGTTCAAGGAACGGAAGACCAAAAATATAATTTAAAAATTTTCCTTCATCTGTGTCTCCTTCAATATAAAGTTTAGATAGACCCAAATTTTGTAATTTTCTAAACCACGCTTGGTCGAGATGAAAATTACAACCACGAATAATACTGGTTGGCCATATATACTGCGGACTGCTTCGTGTATTCCAATTTCAAAATCAATTACAAATATATTTGGGTTAAGTACAAATCCTTCCGTCAAACATGCATCACGTAACTTTTTAAATACATGTTCATAAGTCGATGTACGTTTATTGGGAAGCAATGCATATACTAGAGACGTATATATACCATTTTGAAAACCATGCAGTACAAAAAACTGGTAAAAAAATTTAGTGCAGAACTGGAATGTTCCGTCCATAAAAACTTTTTCCATAGAACAGTATTTTAAATTTGTGAGACATGTAAATATAATTGTATTTGTTTCCTTGTCATTTATTAGCAAAAAGTTTTCGTTTTTGTTAGTCGTAATATTCATATTTATTAGAGCTTCATGTACTTCATTAATATTCTTGGGAAGTGGTGGGTGATATTTGGTTTTTTTATTATATAAATTTCTACGAATATATGAAATATCATTAGTCAGTAATTGTGTATCGTTTCCTAAACTACGAAGTTCTTTTCTTATATTATTTTAGATGGCATTTCGTTTATATTGCTTTCAGATATTTTTCGTTTGATACTATATATTACTCACTGCTTGACGTTCAATTGTAGAAACTGCTTCATGAGTATGATCCAAAACTGATTTTTCTTGTATTAGAGTTTTTTCCTTGTTGAACACCAATTTGGCCTTGCATGATTTATTAGTGCATTCCCACGTTTTATAAACACTTATTTTTGATTCATATTTAAATTTGAATTTAAAATTGTCTAACACTGTTAATTGTTTGCCATTCTGGCTAAACATTGTTGTAAATTCCATCACGTTGAATAAATATTAAACTTTTAACTCTACTAACATTTAGCACTTGTAAGTAGATACTAACTAGTATTATCAAAAGTGAAGGAACCGATATTACCGATATGCTTCGTTAAAACTTAAAAATACATTTGGATTTACCTTACCAATATCTGTGCAATACGCAACATCACATAATTAATTAAATGATATACGTACATATAGGTAGGTATATATGATTTAGGTACTATAATATAGTATAGGTATATAGAAGGTATATTATAAAACAAATTGCCGCAGTTTGTATAATGTATCTTATCAGTTTTGTCACAGTTTGTATAATGTAAAATTTTTTTTTGTCGTTGTTTACATATCAACTTTTAGAAAAAGGTTAATTTTGCCGCAGTTTACATACAGCCGTAAAAACAACCACAACAATACAAATGTTAAATTATGTATTTCAAGATTATATTATTTATTAATAAACATATTATAAGTATATTATAATTTAAAATATAGTAAGACATAAAATTAACAGTTGATAATAGTGATAATACAATACACTAGGTATAATAATTAGGTATTTAATGTATATTACAATAAGTTATATTTAAATTGTATTAAAAAAAATGAAAAGTTTTAGGAATGGAGTCAATGAAAAATTAAAAATTGTTTGTTGTTGAGGAACACACAAGTACACAAAATTAATTTTATCTAAATTAGTACATTTATTTTTGTTACTTAATTAATATTTCATATGAACAATGAACTGAATATTTAAGACAGTTATTAATTATTATCAATCAATATTTTACGTAGAACTACACTAATTATTATTGATTAGCAATTTTTTTATAATGATTTTGAGATAGGTTCAAATGGTTTTACAAGTTATAGTTCGTTATGTTAGATACCATATAGTTCTAGTATATGTATAGTATAGCTGTCTATAGCTTATAGGTAGGTAGTAGGTAGGTACGAATCGCGGACATTTCCGCCCGACGACTGTTTTCGGTCTAGTAGGACAAAACCCTGATATATTTTTGATGTGGACATTTTCCCTACATTTTTCTTTAAAGTTTACTATTTAATATGAAATATTTTTTTTGCCTATTGTCTAATATTTTTAAATATTTTCATAAATATAATAAATTAAATGTAGATGTTAATTTTTGATCAACTGAACTACTTGAATCAAATTCAAAAGCAATCAATAAATTGTTAAATATCCAGACTGGAACATTTTAAGAAAAAATAAAAATAAATATGAACAAAGGCTAAACAATTCGTGTTTATAAATAACAAAAGAATCAGTTATCAAATATTTTTTACAAAATGTATCATTTTTATGTCGGAATTTTTGGCTATTTTAAATTCAATATTATTAGTCAATAATAATCTTAAAAAAAATGGCTGGAAAATGTCTGCATCAAAAATATATCGGGGGGGAAATGTCCGTGGTAAATGTACCGTAGGTACTTGGTTCTTAGTTAAAATTGTACTTGATCTACTTGTTTTATGATTAAATTATGTGTTATAACATGTAAATTAAAATAATGTACTATTGCTTAATATTTATCAGATTCATTACATTTTATAATAACAAAAATAATTAATATATACAGTGTGTCCCGTTTTAAATGTACCACTAAATATCTCAGCCCGATAATCTTAGATTGAAATACGGTTTGCTGCAATAGCTTAGGGGTACTGAAGTACACATTTAAGGACAAATTTCAAATTTTTAACTCTTGTAGTATGCGCATGCGCAATACAATTTTTTTTTTTTAAATTGCAACACCTATTTTTGTCACTGGATATGGATAGATTATTTTATTCTAAGTAATTTTGATCCATTGACCATAGTTCTAAACCAAAAATTGAATGAGTTACACCTTTTGGAAATTTTAAAATAATTAAATTTTTTCGATTTTACCAAAAACATTTATTGTTTTAAATTTGAATTGAGTGATTTTTTCATAGATTTTAATAAAGAATGTGAAGTAGGAAATTAAATAAAAAATACTCCGTTACATTGTTTTGACTTATGTTTATTTTTTTTATCTAATAAAATGTTCAAATTTTCCTCTTTTCAAAAACAAAGGTACAAAAAATATTCAAAAAATACAAGTTACATCCTTATAGGGCTGACCTAGTTCAGCATTTACGCCAAGGTGATAACGAACGTAGATTAACATTTATTGCATGGATAACAACAGAAATTAATAACGACCCATTATTTTTAAATTACATTTTGTGGACCGATGAATCAAAGTTTACCAATAATGGCGTTTTAAATAAGCAGAATAACCGTTATTGGTCAAACAGAAAACCACATTGGGCAGTTGATACAAATTATCAAACAGTATGGGGCATAAATGTTTTTGGTAAAATCGAAAAAATTTAATTATTTTAAAATTTCCAAAAGGTGTAACTCATTCAATTTTTGGTTTAGAACTATGGTCAATGGATCAAAATTACTTAGAATAAAATAATCTATCCATATCCGGTGACAAAAATAGGTGTTGCAATTTAAAAAAAAAAAATTTGTATTGCGCATGCGCATACTACAAGAGTTAAAAATTTGAAATTTGTCCTTAAATGTGTACTTCAGTACCCCTAAGCTATTGCAGCAAACCGTATTTCAATCTAAGATTATCGGGCTGAGATATTTAGTGGTACATTTAAAACGGGACACACTGTATAGGTAATCACGACATATTAAAATGTAAATACCTATATTATAAAATGTGTTTTTTTTATTTATATTGGTGTATCGATACCTAACTACATAAGTACATTTACAAAGTAAAATTATATTAATAGATTTAATTAAGTTTATTTAAAATCAACAACGTATTGGATATAATAGTCACTTTGAGTCTTGAGGTCACCAGATATTTTACTGACAACCAATACGCAACTATCATTTATCATTGATGCAGGCCGGTTGAAAACAGCGTTCTGGACATTGGGATAAAAGCGTGGATGTTTATTCTCGCCATCAGAACTATATCCGTTTTTATATCTCCTGTAGTCACATGTGTACTTCAGAGCTGTTTCTAAATCACTTTGGTGTACAATATGAAACACTGTGTCCTGTAAGAAAATTGATTGGTATGAAATACGATAACATGTGAAGTGGTAAACTACTGTCTACGATCTACCGTATATAGTATATAACACTAGGTATTAAAATGTATAGATACCACTGAATATAGTCATAAACCAATAATCATAACCATTAAGAGGATGTCAGAGCACCATTTGTTTTCTCTCTTTAACCCTAAAAAATAGCAAATTTATGATTACCAGAACCAACCTTGTGTTGTTACTTTTAATATTAGAGTGAATTAATTTACTATCAAACATTAAGCTAAGAACGTTATCTACCTGTCCCTATACGTTGGTTCTTTTGCGATATTTTAGTTTTATACAATTTATAAGTATTTTCAAATTGTAATAATTTACACGTTCATAACTTATATAAAAATAAAATATCATGTCAAAGTGGAGACATAGGTAATGTTCTTAACTTGAAGTTTGATAATAGGTGAATTCACTTTAATTTGGTTCTGCTAAACGTGTAATTTGATATGTTGCTCACTTGCTCGCGAGTCAGAGAGAGAAAACAAAATATGGTGAGCTGACATCCTATTAAGCGATAAGCATTAATGCCGTAAAGATTAGAATGTCATATAAATATACAACATGAGTAACGTCATTAGGTTTAAAATATTTATTTTTCACAAACATATTAATTAATTGATATATACTATTATTGAATCGACAAAAAAATTATATTTAAATATTATGAAGTCAATGCTACACAAATATCGATTGTTCAAAGTCTGAACTCCCAAAATGATTATACGCACACAGTACAATCTTTTGTATAAAGTAATAATAAGTAAGATATTTTCATTTTTATTGGGTGCAGTTATTGACTTGTTTATATTTATTATTTATTTAGACAACTTGTGTTCTTATGTTTGTGGGTTACGCAGACATCAGACGGCAGATAAGCAGTGTATTTGTGTGAGAAGTTGATAAATGATAAGTAAATGGCTATGATTTATGATGGTAACCGTAACTCGTACCTTGTAATAGTACTTATTGGCTATTGCATTTTAGATTCTGAGTGAAACGATGAATGTATTGATTTTACAATGATGTGTGTTTTTTTTTTAATTTTTTTTTTAATTTTTTTTTTAATTTTTTTAGATTCTGAGTGAAACGATGAATGTATTGATTTTACAATGATGTGTGTTTTTTTATTTTTTTATTTTTTTATTTTTTTATTTTTTTATTTTTTTATTTTTTTATTTTTTTTGTATCTGTGTACACGATAAGTAGTCGAAATAATGCTTCGATTTTCGACTTCAGTATCTTGTTCGATTGGAAAGTGAATATCGTTGGTGCATTGGGGAGGTCAAAATTTAAATTTCCCAGTAGTTTTCACAAGCGCCGGGAAAAAACAACATAAAAATTAAGGAAAAACGGGAATTTTTACGCAAAATTGATTTTCCAAAAAATCGATTTTGGTTATTGGTGTAACTTTAAAACAAATGAACGTATATACATGAAATTTTCACTGGTTGTTTATATTTGCATTTTCTATACACGATAACATTTTCAAAATATTTTGATTTATTTTGAACTGTTTAGGGACATTTTCATTTTTCGTTTTTTTTTAGTTTTTTTTCTAGAAATATCAATAAAATTTTATTTGTTGGTTGCGAAAGCTTGAAAATTTAATAGAAGGCTCCTAATATATTGTTTCAAAGGCAGATGAAAAATATTAAAAATCCTTAGTCACAATTTTTTTTTATAAGCATTTAAAGTTCAAAAATTGACAAAATATGGAAAAATCACGAAAATTAGCAAATTATTTTGAGTTAAGAATTCGTAAAAATTTTTCTTTTTAAATCTAAGATTTGAAAATCTAATACAAGATTACTCATAAGATTGTCTACCTTTATCAATAAAAAAATCTCTACCGGAAAGTCAAATTAAATTTTTATGAGCGTTTGAAATTCAAATTTTTACAACATTGGATATTCACTCGATTTCTCATGTGGCAATTTCCTTTTTTTGTTGTAATTAAAAAACGAATTACTGTAAATACATGAAAATTTCACTGAATGTTTATATTAGCATTTCCTATACACCATACAATTTTGAAAATATTTTGACTCTTTTTGAGCCGTTTACGGACATTTTCAGTTTTCAATTTTTTTAGTTTTTTTTTTCTATAAATATCAATTAAGTTTTATCTGTTGGGCCAAAAAGTGTAAAAATTTAATACAAGGCTCCTGATATATTGTTACAATATCAGTTGAAAAATATTAAAAATACATAGGCACAATTTTTTTTTATAAGCATTTTAACATCGAATTTTGACAGAATTTTTCAAAATCTCGAAAATTATTAATCATCGTAATTAATAAATTATAAAATGTTCAGTTTTTATAGCTAAGGATTGAAAATTTAAAACAAGATTCCACGTAAGTAGTTAATTCTCTTACCGAAAAATCTAAAAAATATACAATCACAGTTTATTTTTATAGTCATTTTATGTTCAAATTTGGACGAAATTACATATTAAAAAACCTAGTTATTTTGTTGTGATTATATAATATTATTCGTGGGTACCTACTTGAAACTTCTAAAGTGTACTATTATATATATATGATAGTATCAGGGTTTGTTGTTGGTGTATAACGTGTTATAAGTACCTAATGGATATTGTGATATGATTAATTTGGAATTTATTTTAGGTCAATTTTTTTTTAATACCATAGATATGTATATAATTTGTCTTAAACCTAGACTAACATACCGTCTTCGCTCAGAATCGTTTTTCTTATACAATGATATTGTATCATTGAATTCAAATTTAAAAGCATCCATTATACAGTGACCCACTTGTAACCTACTGTACAGCAGAGCGACATCCACTTACCCACCTTTTTTTTATTTTATTTTTTATTTTTTTTTTTATTTTTTTTGTGTCTGTGAACACGATAAGTAGTCGAAATAATGCTTCGATTTTCGACTTCAGTATCTTGTTCGATTGGAAAGTGAATATCGTTGGTGCATTGGGGAGGTCAAAATTTAAATTTCCCAGTAGTTTTCAAGAGCGCCGGGAAAAACAAAAGAAAAATTAAGGAAAAACGGGAATTTTTACGCAAAATCGATTTTTCAGAAAATTGAATTTGGTTTTTGGTGTAACTTTAAAACAAATGACCGTAGGCACATGCAATTTTCACTGGTTGTTTATATTTGCATCTTCTATACACGATAACATTTTCAAAATATTTTGATTTATTTTGAACAGTTTAGGGACATTTTCATTTTTAGTTTTTTTTTAGTTTTTTTTCTAGAAATATCAATAAAATTTTATTTGTTGGTTGCGAAAGCTTGAAAATTTAATAGAAGGCTCCTAATATATTGTTTCAAAGGCAGATGAAAAATATTAAAAATCCTTAGTCACAATTTTTTTTTATAAGCATTTAAAGTTCAAAAATTGACAAAATATGGAAAAATCACGAAAATTAGCAAATTATTTTGAGTTAAGAATTCGTAAAAATTTTTCTTTTTAAATCTAAGATTTGAAAATCTAATACAAGATTACTCATAAGATTGTCTACCTTTATCAATAAAAAAATCTCTACAGGAAAGTCAAATTAAATTTTTATGAGCGTTTGAAATTCAAATTTTTACAACATTGGATATTCACTCGATTTCTCATGTGGCAATTTCCTTTTTTTGTTGTAATTAAAAAACGAATTACTGTAGATACATGAAAATTTCACTGAATGTTTATATTAGCATTTCCTATACACCATACAATTTTGAAAATATTTTGACTCTTTTTGAGCCGTTTACGGACATTTTCAGTTTTCAATTTTTTTAGTTTTTTTTTTCTATAAATATCAATTAAGTTTTATCTGTTGGGCCAAAAAGTGTAAAAATTTAATACAAGGCTCCTGATATATTGTTACAATATTAGTTGAAAAATATTAAAAATACATAGGCACAATTTTTTTTTATAAGCATTTTAACATCGAATTTTGACAGAATTTTTCAAAATCTCGAAAATTATTAATCATCGTAATTAATAAATTATAAAATGTTCAGTTTTTATAGCTAAGGATTGAAAATTTAAAACAAGATTCCACGTAAGTAGTTAATTCTCTTACCGAAAAATCTAAAAAATATACAATCACAGTTTATTTTTATAGTCATTTTATTTTCAAATTTGGACGAAATTACATATTAAAAAACCTAGTTATTTTGTTGTGATTATATAATATTATTCGTGGGTACCTACTTGAAACTTCTAAAGTTTACTATTATATATATATGATAGTATCAGGGTTTGTTGTTAGTGTATAACGTGTTATAAGTACCTAATGGATATTGTGATAATGTGATATGATTAATTTGGAATTTATTATAGGTCAATTTTTTTTAATACCATAGATATGTATATAATTTGTCTTAACCTAGACTGACATACCGTCTTCGCTCAGAATCGTTTTTCTTATACAATGATATTGTATCATTGAATTCAAATTTAATAGCATCAATTATACAGTGACCCACTTGTAACCTACTGTACAGCAGAGCGACATCCACTTACCCACCTTTTTTGATTTAAAAATGATTTATAGCTTATTATTATTACTCTATATTATTATACTACAGTAGAACTTCCATATAACGGCCACCGAAGGGACCTTAATTAATGACCGCTATTTAGAGGTGCCCGTCCTACAGAGGTAGGATAACACTAGGATAACACTCGACGGGACCAAAAAAATTGACCGTCTTATAGAGGTGACCGTTAATGGAAGTTTTACTGTAGTACATAATTTGAGAATTCGGAAGAACTCATTACTTGTACACTGTGCCTATTTATTTTTACTTTTCATATGATTTCCTATTATAAATTAATATCCTATTCAATATCGAAAACATATGCCAACGAGTAAAATACTAAAAACCGGTCAAGATATAAAGACATAGTATTTTTACTCATCATCGAGCAAATCGTAGAACGTTTTTCTTTATTTGTAAAAAATACATTTTTTTCGTACCGTTTTATGAACGCTATTAATGTTTTGAACCAAACACACTGTACACATCATTATACATAAAAGTAATTTGTATACACACATGTGGTCTCGTGTATAATAATAAGTCAAATGGGCTTTGTCCGGTGTGGCCAAAAGTCATTTAACCCGGATGAGCGGCGGCAGCGGCCGTGTCCTATGAATTTCAAGCGATTTTTTTTTTTTTTGTCTGTTATCCCTCGCATTGAAGCTTTTTAGGAATGGTTACAATAGTGTACCCGTTTCTAACCTCCTAGCCCCTAGCAGGGGCGTAATTAGGGGATTAGAGGGATAGACCCCCCTCAAAAATTTTTTTTCTTCTAACATTTTGATCAAAATATTGATAACGATTAATGACCATTCATGTTTGCTAAAAACGTATATCCCCCCAAACCGAATTCCTAATTACACCACTGACCCATAGGGTACATGAGTGGCTGTGAAGCTGTGTATATACAATTATACAAACATGGACCATGGTAGTTGGTTGTCACGGCTTTGCAAGGTCTCTGTTCACGTGTGCTACTGATAAATGCACTATGCAGTAAACATGAATCATAATTCATAATTTTATAGCTTATAATTTTTCTGGTGAGTAGTTTATATGTCATAATTCATAACTCATAAGACATAAGTTATATGATACATTCAAAGTTCTATCAGTAAAATAAAAATTTACATAAACCACAGTAATTTAAAATTTTTTTTATTTAAGATATTTACATGGTTTTTTATCAGCTTAATAGAGTATAATAATTACATGGTTTTTTATAGTTTAAAAATATAAAATCTAGTTCAGGACAATGTACATATAATAAAGTCATATGGATATAAAATGGTGGAATAAAATAATAAAAAACTAGTCTTGAAATAAAATTTATGATAGCGAAATAAGGTATGTGGCAGATTTGGGGTTACCTAGTAGTCCGAGTATAGTATTTTGAATATTTTTCATTTATAATATTTTTATAATACCTATGTCTATAATCACAATATCAACTCCTGTACCTAGTATAATATATTCATATACATATAATATAATGTATAATTTCTGTCTATATAGATCTATAGATCTAGTCGTGCACCCGATCTTTGCATCCTGTTCAATGTTCATTTTATCTGTACACATATTTTAATTTTCGTACATGAATCTAATTTTAATATATGAGTCACTATTGTACTACACTCTACAATGATAATTTTTTTAGTATAACATATAGATACTGTTATATATTGGTTGTTTATAATTAAAATAAAAACATTAGCCACTTGAATTATTATAAAAGATATATTGACTCTTAAATTAATATCTATCGATATTTGAGTGTTAAACTGGTTGTATGAACTAACAATATAATAGTCTGTATTTTAAATCGAAACGTATAATCATTATATTATAAAAATGGATATTTTTTGCTTACCACTGAATTAGAATTTAACATTTCTTGTCTCAACTTGAAACGACCATACTGAAAAGGATTTTGGACTCGTCGAATAGTATTTATGTTTAATGACGTCAAGTTAAACATTGCTTTTATATTTGCTGCCTCTCCACTAAAGACATTGACATTAAATAGCACATAACTGCTGTTATATGTGCTTACTGATTCCCAATCACTAGGTACGTTTTCCAGCACAAACGACAGCATCGAAGTCATGATCTGAAAATGGATGGCAGATTATAATTTAACTTTAGCAACATGTTGTTCATTTTACATATCTACAATTAATTAATATATATCTGTTAGTATTAGCATATCGATATTTATATTTTGATAAAATTATTTTGATATTATAATCATATATATTATTTTGGAGAGGAACTAGAACGTGTGTTATTAGTTATTGGTTATTACATTTGAACGATGATTCTGAGTGGCACCTAGTTTCCACGGGCTTAGCCAGGGGTTTTTTGCATGTTTAGCCCACCATTAGGCCATTTTTTTAGTGAATAACCACTGCGGGTTCACTCTTCCTCCCTTAAAAATAAGTTAATAGAAAGACTCTCCAGTTACTCTCCTGACAGTTGGATTGAAATACCCATGATAGAAATAACATTTCTACATGGAATTAAAAGGGTCACACGCCGCGCCACCGCACACCTTAAATTACTAGGTATTTATGATAAAAAGTAGTAGTACCTAACTATTAACTAATAAATATATTTTACTGTTATCGTTGATTAGAATGATAAATAGGTACCTACATATTTTTTATAAAGAAGAAGAAGAGTCTAAAAAATAATTAATATATTAATATATTAAAGTTATTACTTATTAGTTACTACAATTAACTTTTTATTCTATAATGGATACAAATTTAGTAAAATCTATCATTGGACTGTGTGTCCATTTAAACACAAGAAGCATCCTAAACAATTGCTAATAGTTAATAATTAAAACCGAACTTTAATCGTTTATGATACTTTTGGTCTCTATCTTCTGATTAAAACAATCATATGCCAATAGAAATATTTAATACATTAATATGCTGTAGATAGAAATATTATTACTAATAATTTATTAGTATTAACTATTAAATAGATAATCAGTACATTTAGAAATTTCCAATTTACATTAAACAACAATACTAAATATTTATTTAATTATATTTTTATTCACTTAATTTAAAATATAAATTATAAGTTGTTATAAAAATAAACAATATCATAATATAAAAAATTCTGTTGCTTGTAATTGTAGGGATTTTCACCCGTAATATTATTTGGTAAATTAATAAATAATATGTATGAGACATGAGACATCTAAATGAATGTCTTATATACAAAGACATCTAATGAAATGTTTGAATCAATTGAAAAAAAAACCCTTAGTTATTAGGTTTCAATAAAAATCGTTGTATACCCTATTACCATCTATTATGATAGCAGCAGAACTGGTATTTTCTGATCTCTGATCTAATATAATATTATATAATTATGAATTTTTGCAAAATTTTAAATTGTGTGGGTCATTTGTTGATTAATAGAGCTCTAAAAATGAATCAATGATTAATTATTGATAGGTATGTTATTGCGAGTCAGTTGTCATGGAATGAAATTGTTATTGATAAATCATAAATGGTTAAAGACTAGTAAGTTATTAGTTATTAGTATAAACTTAAAAAAAATATTTTATAATATTTTTTATGACATTATTGAAGCAATATATTGTCAATGCATATAATACGAATTACGTATAAAGACGTACTAATTTAAATAAATATTAAAAATGACAAACCTATACATTTTCGAAAAAGAAATGTTTTTATGTTTGTATGAAGTAGGACAATGAAGTTAATTTATTATTACTTATTTTTTATTAGACATAAGTACTAGATATATTTCATTATTTGCAATTGCTAAATAAATACTTGTTTTTTTTTTAGTACCTAATATTTATCTTGCGAGTCACGGGCAAGGCACGTTTTCAGTTATCTAGATAAGTTTCAGTTGTAGGTAGTTGTGTGTTTCCCTATCACGGTGTTCAGAATTTTCTTTTTATACACAAAATTAAATAATATTATATTGTTTAGGTAAAACGATTTAAGCATTTCATTAGATAGTGATTAATATCCACATTTAATAACCGCTAAATCACACGGTGAGGTAGTTGAATATTGTCAACTATATACGGTAATGTGTTAATCACGTGGCCTACACGGAAAATGGTGACAGTTTCTTTAATATACTGTTCGTTGTCAAGGAAATTACCAAACGAGAAAATGTATTAGTATTCTAAGTGAATGGTGAAAAAGGGTCGGAAAAATAAAACTGAAAAATTGTCCGAATATAATATGTAGCTAGTAGCTACTTATATTATTTCTGTTGGACCAAGCTAATTATAATATGAACAGTATGCAAAATGTAATTTAGATACCTAACGCCGCATGTATAAGCGTGTAACTAAAAAAACCTTTGTGTTTAAATTAAAACAAGTAGGTAAAGTGGCTATAAATTATAACATACCAGCTGATCCCGTGCACTTCGTTGCCCGTTAAATGTACCAACTCTATATGACTCAAACTTTGTTCAATTCATTATTTAATATTCAGTGTATGGTGTTCAAAATTTATCTTAACTTTTTCATTGCCCGCAATAAAAATTCTGATTCACAGCAGTATTTTATTAGGTAGGCAATCTACCTGCGATAGATCGCGGACCCCATTATGCTGTTTGTACGTAAGCGTATGATTTAACTCTAAAGTATCAAAGTTATACCAAGTTTGTCATATTCCACCTATGGTGGATTAATATAATCAATTAATACAAAATCCTAACTTAACCTAACCGTACTAATATCAGATGAATAACAAAAAACCAAATTTAACCATTTTTAAATTAGCCTGTCTTCTTCCCAGAGGTCTAATCTTCACCCGAACATTCATTTATATATATATATTGACAAAAAATAATAATACAAATCAACAAACATGCCCTATTAACCAATAGCAACCAATATATATACACAGTTGTATTTTTTACATCCAGATTTCCTACTTTTCCGAATTTTCCGATTTTTCGTTCTTATCAACCTTCTAGCAATTACGAACATCTAAAAAAAATTTGAGCCAAATCGGACCAGCCGTTCTCAATTGATGAGGTAAAGACAATTTTTCAAGCTCCATTTATATATATATATATAGATTATATTTTATTGTCATACTTTTCGTTATTATTATTTTGTTGTGGGCTTTTAGCCACCTTATTGTTGTTATATATTTTGTTACTATAATTATTATATAGGTATTGTTATATATTATACTATGGTTAGCATCAAAAAACAGTTTTTTATGTCGACTTTTAATTCCTATCTGGTTATATATTAAAATAAATTGTATTTTTTTTCTCAACTTAAATTTATCATAACATATAATTTATATTGATCAAAGCCTTTTTAAATTTTCTGTTACACAGGACACTGCATACTAATTAAATAAAAAGCAATACTCTAAAATATCTATACAAAATATTAAAGTAACTTAATTAGCTAATCTACGCTTCTACTACATTCTTATCATCATTGTTCAGTGCCAAACAACCAGTTTAAGTATATGTAGTGATGAAAATATATAATGACGATAATTGATAACAATTAATTAGCTAAAAGTATTTAGTAAAGTTAATATTTTGTACATAGGTACAGAGTAGGTACCGAGTAGGGATTATTGAATGAATAAAATCAACAAAATATACTTACCAACTTCTAGATTTAAGCTGTATATAATATATAATAATATATATTATATTGAATATTACTGCTATATAGTTTTGATGTAATATTTTTTACTACAGAAGAGATATTATTGAATAGTACCTATACTATTTGAAACTTAAATTTTTAAAGAAATGACACTTCGTGCATGAACAACGGGCGCCGACTGATTTACTGATCTATGGAAACTGTTATTCTCAGTCCGCGTACCCACCTACACAGTCTCATAATATTATTGTACAGTAATCAGTAATCACTATAGCAACACTAAGCAATGTTCATAGATATATAAAACAACATCTATGGCAATATTATACTATGCTTATCAGTTATAAGTAATTTATTTATCTACTTAGTATAAATATTATCGTTTTTTTTTTTATGTTTTATGATAATTGTCAATCGATTGTAGGAGTAGGGGGTTACTAGAAGATAATAATATAATAGCATTGATTAAATATACATGTATATTTAATCAATGATAATAGGTACCATTGGACAGGCGCGGTCCAATGTCTAACCTTCATTAATAAATCCATTAACAGTGTAATTAATATTATTAACTAACAGATATTATCCCTATTTAGGGCCGTTCTTACAATGTCCGGTAAAGTGTCGGTTAACGCTAACCGACTGATAACAGATTTTATTACCGGCAGAATTCTTCCGGTTAAGTGTCGGTTAACTTTAACCGGACATCGTAAGAACGGCCCTTAGAGTACTTATTACTTACATACACGGTATTATTCTATATTATGTTTAATTTATAAATATTATTATGATGTGTCAGTACTGAGCATATACAGTGTGATCACAACATAAGGTACCACTGAATATCTCAGATGGGTGACTTTGTATTGAAATGGGGTTTTCGGGAGGTGATAGGGAGCACTGAAATACATATTTTCAGACCAGTTTCAAATTTTTAGCTCACTCGGTACGCGCATGCGCAATATGACTTACTTTTTTTTAAATGGCAGCCCCAGTTTTTCCTGCAGATTCAGGTAGAGTATTTTCTTTTAAACATTTATTGTATAAAAAGTTTTTTTTTATTTTCAAAACTGACCAAGTTAGAGTAAGTCAAAAAATTGGATATATGCATAATTCGTGTTTAATGATATTTTCATTTATAACCAAGGGAAATGGTAATTTGAAGACTTCGGTTTATGCAGATACACCTGTCAATCTTCAAGACTTTAAACACAAAATACAAACAGCAGTATGTGATATTTTAAGTGAGGACCAAATCAAGGCCGAAACTTCGACTAAATTGTTGAGACTACTGGAATCATGTTTAGAACATGATGCCGAAAACTTCGAACAATTCATTCGATAAATGTATTTAATACATTTTATTTTAGATTCTGAGTGGAACGATGAATGTATTGATTTTACAATGTAGTGTGTTTTTTTTTATTTTTTATTTATTTTTAATTTTTATATTT